TCTCTACGTCGTTGTTCTCGATGCTCTGGGGCAGTGATTATGAAAGTGTGTAGCGCACCCCACAGGTGGGGCGCAGAGTTCTGACAGGTGGGGGGCATTTTACCTGGCAGAAGCGTCATGCGGAACAAATGTTTAATATTGGATTCACTTTTACGGCGGAAAAAAAATAATTTGCGGCAGTTACGTTAATACATTGCACATCCGCTGAAAAGCTGCAGCCGCGTGTGTAAGTGAACAGTGGCAATAAAGAAGTGTACTGAAAAGTGCGAACATGCGGTCGGGTCTGTCGCGTGTTGTGTACAGTGGTTCCAAAACCCAGGATCGACCTGACCACATGTTTGCACTTTTCAGTACACTTCATTATTGCAGCTGTCGACTTACCCACGCAGCTGCAGCCTTTTGGCTACAGCCTACACAAAGCATCAACAACAACAGGACCTTGTTCTGTTTAAAACTGGCGAGGCGTGATTGCGGATGGCGCTCAGGTGCATCCACCTCCCCCACAGCCACGCCGCCGACCACGCCCCGCTCTGCGGTCAAAAACAGGCTCACAAGAGTGAGTAGTATTAAATGCTCACTAAATTATAAATTTTCCATCTCGCTTCACGAGTTTCTGGATTTCTTTTTTTATATTTATTTATATATATTGCTTTTTTAAAGAAGTGGTGCAGACTAATGAAGCAGTCTAGTGATAAAAGTTATATGAAATGAAAGTTGTGTGTTTAAAACAAAAATTACTGAAGGGTTTATTGTGAATGAATTTATTATCTAAATAAAGTTGCATCTAGGCTTTTCTGTCCATCTGTTTGGTTTTGATGGGGTGTGAAAATGTTTCTTACTGCAATGATGTAAAAACTCTGAGAACCACTGCTCTAAGGAATCGAGTCCAGAAAACATCATAATCTGTTGAAATGACTTGAACAAAATTAATTGCAAAGTGACGGGAAAAAAAAGTAATTTACCTCTTCCTCGTCCATACATCTTAACGACCACTGCTGCTAGTAGTTTAAACATAATAGCAACAAACAAAGTTGCTACAATAGCAGCAAAAAATTCTAAAACTGAAAGAAACAGAAAGAGGCATTTAGCTCCAATCTCTCAGGATGGGTTTAAAAAAACAAAAAACAAAAACAGTCCCATAAAAAACCAAATCAAATAAAAAAACATAAGTTTCTTTGTCTGTACGTCGTGGTTCTTGTTTCTTTGAGGAATTGAGTCCAGAAAACATCATAATCAATAGAATTTCAAAATAAATTTCAGGGAAGTAAAGTGAGATTGTTTACCTTTTTTGTATGTATAAATTATGAACGCTACTGCTGCTGCTATAATGACAGTGACTACAATGAGTCTTCTTAAACTAGATCCTGAAGTACCTGAAACAGAAAGAAACAGAGTCAGTTTAAATGTCTTTTGGTTTTAACTTCTTCATGACTCTGAATTAGAGAAGTGGGAAAAAATGAATTTAATTGATGAATTGATGGAAAAAAAAATAGGTTCATGTAAAGTGAGACACTCAGGGGCCAGAGGTTTTGTTCAAAATTATTAAATAATTTACTTTGTAGTTTTAGAAGAGATTTGAAGTCAGAGGCATGGGAGTGAGAACTGTTTCACTGACTGCAACAAAAGAGTCCTATATTTTAGAAATATGTACCGGAAAAAAATAAAGATTTATTCCTTTGCCCATCACATCAGGATGTAGTCTAGTCAGTACAACAGCAGCAATCAAATCCAGGGCAACTAGATTGTGAACAGAATTTCATTGTATGTATGTGTATATATATATATATATATATATATATATATCATAGTGTATTGTATTGTCCAGTAAAATCTTAACCATTTACGTGTGAGAAAACAAGAAATACTTTTTCACTGCACTGAACTTTTGCAAACAGTTTCATGGGTCCAGACTAAAGCTACCTTACCTTTATGAATCATCACAGATCTGAGACTTATTGTTGTCTCTTCAGCATCACGGACTTCACATGTGTAGATTCCCTCCTGATCTGCAGATATGTCCTGTAGTGTGAGGCTGCCTGACTCTGAAAGCTTCTTCACACGCTGCTTCCATTTCTCTGACACTGTGTAGTTTGTGACAGTCCCATCCAGGATGAGCTGACTGTGGCTGAATCTCCAAATGAGATTTGAGAGTGTAATGTTTGATGGACTGCATGGGATTGTGTTCTCATACTCAAGAACATCTTGAGAAGCTGAAATATTATTACAAAAACACACAAAACTTATATTTATGAAAGCACATTATGAAATTTTCCAATCTAAAAATTATGCAGATTTACTGCACATATGAATTATCATTTTTCAATGATCTTCAACT